GCTGGAAGGATTAGATAATTGAAATATCGAGTGATCTAATGGGGAATCGAAAGGGCGACCCTTCGGCTGTAGCATAGTGCCTCATTCAACTTCGCTACGGCGTCCCGCGCTCCTTTTCCATGTACCGGACCTAATAGCGAACGCGCTCGAGCGAATTACGTATTCTTGCCAAGTGCCTTACAAGTGTCATTAAGTCTCTACGCCTACGCCTACGCCTCAGTTTGTCCTTCGCAATGTGCTGGGCAGTTGCATGTGAGGATCCTAACTTGCGCTGTCACTAAGCAAAAACAGAACTCCCTCTAGCAACTGTACCCCAGTAAGAGTTCACATCTTGTACTACGTGTAAGAAAGGTGGGTATAATCTGTCTCTATTAGACGATGTTCAGCCTGTCCTTTCTGCATTTTATTATCTGTAGCCACGGGTTTCTTATCAGTCCAAAACTGTAGGCTAATATTTATTTTTATTGAAATTATCACTGGCTTTTTGATTGTACAATCTATTCTTGTTGCGTCCCTACCGATAAAATGCAAAAACATTTATTTCCGTCGCCATGTTTGTGTGATTGATCTGATATCTCCTCTCTCTCTCTCTGCAAATAAAAGCTCACGGAATATTGTGTACTTATACTGGTTGTTTCTAAATTATTGTCAGCATTTCCGTTTATAGGCCAGGGAAGCCCCAGTAGTACTTTAGAGTCATTCTGTACATTGCGAAGATTTAGCAAAATTTGTCTATTTTGAAATGTGTCCAAAATCGGACAGAAATAATGAACTCTTCAAATGGAAACTCAACACGGGTTTCAGCGACTTGGCAACAAACGTTTCCAACAAAGCTGTAGCAGGAATGAAACTTGTACTTTATGCACAATTCACGGTAGTACTACAGAGATATGAATCCACAATTGTTATGCTATACACACTTCGAAACATAGTGGTAATTATATGGACCAACGCTTTAACATTAAAAAGAGCTTCCATTTCCCCAATACGATGTAGTTATGTGTTTGCTATAATTCCCGAGGTAAACTAATATTTCCCTAAACATCATTAAACTGTTGGTTTAATGTGATCTAGACAAATTGCGTTGTGAGTGACCCAGGAACTGAATTTTTAAATAAATAAATTTGTAAAAACTACTGGATTCAAAATGTGAATCTACGAGGCATTCGTCCAAGTTGAATACTTAATCTAACATTTTCGTGCGAAAATTAATCCTGATTTATAGAAATGTGCATCCTGCATACCTGCTATTTAGGATATATAACAACCCGTTTACAAGCAGACAGTAAAAATTTGTTGGTTGTGTTCTTTTTCCTTTCACATGTTCCGACCGCATGCGACCATTATCAGGTGAAGACGGAAGTGTAGTTTTCCCTGGGCTTAATTATTTAAGCACTATGCCATGAAGACATACTGGGAAGTGAAAGTACAGCTCCGCCTTCCTGAACTTCGGCAATAGACAGACGTGATTGGTCTGCTTCACGCGCCTTCCGCTTTACCCCCGACGAAAGAGCACCGGATACCAATTGGTTAGGATGCTGGGAGGGTGTCCCCAGTGTCGGTCTGGACTCTGTGCAGACTGAATATAAATAAATTTAACTCAAACTTATATAGAATAAGCAACGACTCGGTAAATATACTCGTATCCCCGCTGCAAAGAATATGTAAACAACAATCGAGTAACTTCCGTTGCTCAGCAACGGCACTGTAAACACGCATTCCCAAGATTCGAGAAGCTGTGTTTTGTGCATGGCTCGTGCAAAATGGTTATAAATAACAGTTCAGTTTAGAAGAGTTAGTCTACTTTCGAGACGCAAGCCTGCCAGGATATGCTTTTGGGAGCAGAGGAATTGAAATGTATTGGCCGTTGAAGAATAATAGCAAGAAAGGAATTAGGCTGTGGAAAGAAGACTTCATATTTGTTTTGAAGTGACGGTGAGACTGTTATAAATCCGTTGCCAGGATACGACTAGTGAAGGCTGAGTAGGATAGTGTGTGTGTAACTGTGAACTGTAAAGTACGTAGATCAGCGATAGCGCTCTATTGTCTATAGTCCGAAGCTGTGATTGAGGTAACAATAAATCCAATCATCGAACCCAAAACCCGTCTGTCAATAACGCAGTCCCCTACACGTGACTTCATAATTTCGACAAATCGGATCACATGCAACTTTGTTAAATACCCGAGAACAATATCAAGGATCATTAAGCAACCTGTAACTGAGCTCCACACAAATATACCGCTCAGCCACTCTCACTATGGCCCAGTTCTTCCAGTCTACTACCTCCGAAATTATACTAATTATATAATATTCTGATTAAAACTGTGTTCGGTTACATAAATAAAGTTAAATTTAGGGACGAAAATAATTTACTGACAGATGAAGTGACAATGATTATAAATCGTGTTGTGGTATATTGGAGCAGTGCCTGCTTTATGGTTGAGTTGAAAAAATTAGATTGTTAAAATTATGTAAGCTATTGTAGGCGTGGTGCCTTTTCCTGTGGTTCTGTATTGTATGGGTGTGAAACTTGGTTTCTGATTTTAAGGGAGGAACGTAGACTGAGGGTGTTTGAGAACAGGGAGTTTAAGAGAATAATTGGACGGAAGAGAGATGAAGTGACCTGTAATGGTAAAGCTATCCCTGTAACAGGCCTCTGAGGCCCATAGGGTTCTGAGACGTTGAGGGTCCCACATTATCTAGAAAATCGGCTCAAAGATGGCGATAAAGTTGTCAACCTTACGCGGGGGCTGCACTTTACCCTGAGGAAAATTCCTGGGTCTCATTTCTGTTAGAGGCTGAGTAAAATGAAGTGACAGGAAGTTGGGGAAAACTGCATAATGAGGAGCTTCATAATTTGTACTCTTCGCCAAATATAATTAGAATGATCAAGTCAAGGAGGATGAGATTGGTAAGGCATGTAGCAGTAATGTGGGAGATAAGGAATTCATAAAGGATATTGGTGGGAAATCCAGAAGGTAAGAGGCCACTATGAAGACCAAGACATAATTAGGTGGACAATATTAAAATGGATCTTATAGAAATAGAATTGGGTAGTATGGACTGGATTGATCTGACTTAGGATAGAGACAAGTGGATGGCTCTTATGAGCACATTAATGAACCAACGGGTTCCATAAAATGCTGGAAACTTACTGAGTACTTGCGCAATTGGCGGCTTCTGAAGGAAAGCTCTGCAGCTTTGAGTTAGCCACTGATTGGGCTATTGTATCTGCCACGGGTGATTATGACGCTGGAGAATTTGATGGAATGAATATAATCAGGGGAAACCGAAGTACTCGGAGAAAACCCGCCCCAGCGTCACTTTGTCCACCACAAATCCCACATGACCAGACCCGGGTTCGAACCCGGGCCACAGCGGTGGGAAGCTAGCGACTAACCGCTTGAGCTATGGCGCGGCCTTGAGCTATCTACTTTGTTAGTTAAGTAGTTATAGAATGATTTTGCTGCACATTTCATAGCTTCATGCATAAGGAGATTGGGTTTGAGCTCCAGGATTCCTTGTGTATGCTTAAGCCAATTAAAAACCATTTAAACCCCGGGATGAAGTGGGAAGCTCAAAAGGAAATAAGTGAGAGACTGTTTCCCCACGGACTCCACATCGCAACGGGAATTTTCCGTGGCAATGCGTTAGAGCAGGAAGAGTGATCTTCATTTCGCTTCCCTTGGCTTTCTTTCACAGAAAAGTGTCCTCTACCACTGAATTAATTTCAGGATAGTTCAGATTTGGAAATCTGACGTGTGTTGACAATTATTAACCCAAGTTATCATTAAGAAGTTTCAGTCCAAAATTTGTTGTAGCTTTTCTATGCTGTGTTAAGAGTCTCTAAGGGCCACGTTTATAGTTGACACTAATCTCTAACCTTATAACTAAAACATTTAAAAACTTTCCCTTAGTATTTTATCATTCTAAGATTTTAGGATATTGATTGCATTGAAAAATGTTTACGTCAGATACCTCACACCACAGGTTACCCTTAAATATCTTGTCACTGTATTTTTTGAAGTGCACAATTACACCCCTTTCCTACGAGGACACATTCCTTGCCCCTTTTTGCGACACGTTTAAGCTATCCATTGATTTAAAAAGATCTGTGGCCACAGAGCCAGACGACTGATGTATGGTTCTCCGAGATGCGGCGCGTTGAGATCTAGCCTTATTGAACACAGGACGATTTTCAGTTGCCGATTTCAGCATCACATATGAAGCATTTTCTTTGCGCAAGTTCACACTGCTACAAGTAAATGGCGTTGGCTTCACAGAGAAGGAAGGAAACAATTGTCACACTAGCAGCAGTTGCCGAGGTATGAGCCTGTCACGTTTCAAACGAGATATGTTACAATCTATCAATAGCCCGTGCGCCAGTTATACAGGGTTATTCATAAGTCTGTTAAACATTTTAAAAATTCACAACAAATAGTCTATGGTAATTCTTACGTCGATAAAGAATGCATATGTTGAAGTTTTTTTAAAAGCGTCCACTGTCTGCTAATCTCAGGCATCTTCACAACCGTATCACCGCTCCTATGGCTCTGCTCAACCGCGATATGCTGACACGGGTGTGGGGTGAAATGGATTATCTCATAGATGTCTGCCGTATCAGCAAACGTGGACACATTCAGCATCTGTGAACTATGTAAAGAAACCTTGGTGGGTTTATCCCCATTTCAGTGTAATACAGTGTAAACTTTGGTATCCGTTGCGTAGTTTTTTTACTGTAAATGTTCGAAATATTTTACGGACTTATGAATAACCCTGTAGAACCGTGCGTTTAACTGGAGCAAAACAATAAGCGGAAGGCTTATTGCACATGGAAGCTTGTAATTTCTGCGCGTTTCTGCATTTTATTGCCATCTGTAGGAGAACAAGTCATTTACAGCCGGTCACATGGCACGATCGGCAGTGGCACGCAATAAAATTAAGCCTATCGGGTGACGGGATTGGCGATAAATGGGTTAAGCCTAATTATGTGCTTAGGTCTCATACGTAAATCATTTTTATTTTACAGCATTTTCTTACATTTACTATGAAAATAAGTTGTGTACATATAATACAAAATTAAGGAACATGAAGTGAATGAAATTAAATGAAGAAATGGACATCATAAAATAGGCCAAACTTCTTAAGGAAACACAGGTCCAAGAAGTAACAATATTATTATTTAAATTTTTAATGAAGCTTGAATATATTTTACTGCACTGGAAGGGGAAAGGATAATTTCATTGGTACTACTTTCTATTACATAAGGTATACTAAAGATTAAATATATACAATGAACTTATAATACTTTGCAACAACATTTCCTCTTGAGTAAATGGAACAGCAGTATTAGATGTTCATTATCTCAATCATTTTGTAATTTTGTTGCATTTTTTACTCTTTGCTCAAGCCCAATCCAGAACCCCCCATCTATTGTCATATTGAAGCCACTCTTGGATATTTTAATTGGAATTGGTGTCTTTGGGACAACTTTTAGGTTGAAGCGGGACAACAGCTGTACCAATGCTATCTTGGCTTCCATAAGTGCAAATCGGCTCCCTGGAACATAATGAGAAGAAACCATTAATTGGCCTATATATCGACTTTTGGAATACAGTGCTGGGTGTTAACCACGAAGAAACGGGACGACTGAAGGCAGTAAAAATGAAAATCTGGCGGAAATAGTTGACAGTAGCAATTCTGCTTTCCTTGATGTTTTCAATCAATGCAGGTAGCTCTTGATTTCAAATGGCACACATCACAAGAGCTCAGGGATGGAACTTTATTTCTCTCATGAAATTTCATGCTCTAAGAGTGAAGAGACATACCCTCACTGGTGAAATTTCATGATCTTGGTATTAGGAGTGAAACTTCACGTAAACCTTTTCCATGGTTACTTAATTATTACCTCAAAATCTGTATTAGGTAGTATAATATTACAATATACACTTTCCCATATTAATTCTGTCCACAGAAAATTTTGCAGATGAGAGCTCAGAAGACATTTTTAGACCACTTTGGCCTCTCTCTCACAATATATGAGATATACTCGTATATCACATAAACCCTGTGGCCACATCGAAACATTTAGTTAGGCAAAGAACAGAGATAAAAGGAAATGTTGCGCAGAGGATGTATGTATATGTACACTGGTATGTATATGTAGTTTAAAAATAACAGACTTATGGAAAGAATTGAAGGTGTAGACGTAAAGCTAGGAGGTTATGAGGTATTCATGCAGGAGTGAAAGACAGAAGTATGAGAACAGTGAACATGCATTAAAGTAAAAGTCTCAAGAAGAACAAAAAGGAAAGATTAGTATTTAAGGCTTTGAGTGCAGTAGAGATTTGAATTGTTGCCTTCTGAGTCGTGGTACCACCAGTGGCGTGCGGTACTATTTTAGGTAAGGGAAGCAGTGGTACCTAATAAACGAACTGATAGCAATCAACTCACCAAAATTTACGTCACTTATTGAGTCAATAAGCTCGTTTTGTATTCTGTTCCATAAACCTGTAAATACTGTACTGTTCTCAANATATCACCAAACGCAGTCTTGTTCCATACATTTTTTTTTAGAAACAATAGGCATGGCCAACAAAACTATTTTCGTATATTACGGCAACCGGATAGCCGCTCTGATTTAGATTACTATTCCAAATTAAATTTGGTTTGTTCTTTAAGTTCTGGCACCTCTAATGTCAGTCGTCCTCTTTCTATAATTATTTTCTTTTCAGAAAAGTCCCTGCTATTAAACCTCCGTTTTAAAAGGCTTTCGATTGCACAGTCGCAGTCGCGTTGTCTGCCAGCATTCATTTTAGCTATAGTCTGTGCGTGTAGTCTAATCACGCCCCTGGCCGTGTACCGCAGTAAGAGATTTGCTTCCCTTAAACGCAGATAGCGTCTTTCTGATGCGTCAAAATACGATCACAAATACAATCTTACGCCATCTAAATATACGCTTACAATCTATATAAATAAAAATGTAAATGTTGGTTTGGCTCTCCTCGAAGATCTCCGAAAGTTCTTCACCGATTGCTTCGAAATTTTGACACAGCGTTGCATTCGAACACGCGCGTTTTTATATGCTTATTATGTAGATGTCACACGTGACAGGTAAAAACATGTAAAAGTGTTAATTGTATTCAATATTAATATACTGTAACGTGTTACACGTCGAATACCAACAGATCGTTGCCTAGGAATAACCGTGGCAACGAACTGTTGAATAGGCGGGTCGTTGCCTAGGAATAACCGTCGCAACGAACTGTTGAAAAGGCGGGTAGTTGCCTTGGAATAACCGTCGCAACGAACTGTTGAAACAGCGGAAATAATGCATTTCTGCGGCAACGAGCACAGAACACGTGAAATGGAACCCTCGGCGAAAGTGCCCTCTATTGCTTTCGAAACCGGGTTATTATAGTCTAGCTCCGAAGAAATTTTCGGTGATACTGGACCTGATAATACTCCAGCTCCGAAGAAATTTTCGGTGATACTGGACGTGATAATAATTGTGCTAGCTGGTGTAAAAGTGAGCGTTCAATAACTTATTCGCTGAATCCGTGACGTGCGTGGAAGTTATATCGTAAGTCTTGTTTATTTTTCGTTGTTTTTCTTTTCGTTTTCTAAGAACAGGCTTAGGTCGTCGTACTCGCGGAGCGGAAGTAATGCGTCGAGTAATTTAAAATCAAACTGGGGAAGAACGGGCAGGCTGAGCCATAGCAAGGCGTGGCCGGGCACAGCTAGTATTTTAATAAAACTTAAGGTTACCTATAACACCCAACAAGACTGAAATCACGTATAAACAGTTAATTTTCACATAACCATCGAAAGAACACAGGCCTTCCCTTCCATTTCACAGGTATTCGCCAGAAAACCGAAAGTTGTTTCGTTGCCCACTTCGTGTGCGACGAACTTTAACGGAGAACAACGAAGGAAACTTTGTCCGTCCCGAACAAGCAAGGGAAGGGAGGAGGAGGAGCCATGTGCCTTGAGCAGAAACGCGCGCTAAATGACAATTTTCAAATCCTTATTATCCAAATTGAATTATTTATACATGACTTTTTTCTTTTCGTTTCAACACTACTGAAGCAATGCTTCCCTTGCTTCGATGCACGGCAAGCCACTGGGTACCACCTAATTCAGTGGACAGAGTGCAGTGACTTTTAGTATAAAGCCGCTACTGCTTATGGTTACCGGTGTGTTTTAAAGGCTTAAAGTAACACTAATCCATTTGCTTTCATGTATTTTCCATTCATCAGTCATGGATACATATAAATATAATTCAACTGGTTGGGTGTTATAATAAAGGGCCCGAATGCTGACCCTGATTTACACAAACCACTTTTAGACTGAGCAAACACAAGATTCTGGCTTGTATTCAACAGGTTTCCGGATATAATTTCGGTCGGGGCACTTGACTATTCGTAGTTTTTCTTGGTCCCTTCAAGCAAATTCCGGTGTAGTATAATTGCTGCTGTGTAAAATGAAACACCACGTCATAAAGTTGTATGGGAGAGCGGAGATGTGACTCCAAACAGATTTAAAATCTGCACTAGATGTAGGTAAGTAACAAGTTCCACGCTCCGGGCATTTGATTCCTGGGAAACAGATCCCGGCACCCACAGAATCAGCGGCTGAATGGGAGCCACAGCCGGTCTCGTTGTTGTGGACAAAAGCATTCTTTGTTGCTGCAGGGAAACGAAACCCGATTTTACCGTAGTCCAATCCATTGTATCCTTGCTGCATTTACTGAGCTGTACGTGAAAATTAAACTTGAAGCGAAACTTATTACGATAAGACCAAATGCAAATTTACACCGCGTGATAATTTGGCAATCTGACTGAACTGTATTTGTGTGGTAAGTTCTCATTAAAACTGGAGTGTTATTATGACGAATGCAACTTTTCACAACCTTTCCCCAATTATTTATTTCTGAACTCATGCTTAGCACCAACAAATTCATTTGCAGGATGAAAAATGGAGATCGCTTAAATGTAAATTTTGTGCCATCTTCTGTTCATATTCGCGAACTAGTAAAATACATGTCAGATTTGAGGTTTTCACGGCTTGAAAGACTGCTTTCTTCATAGTATAATACATGTGAAAGCATTTAAAGACGGCAGCACCCTGTTGTAACGTCGTGGTGGTAACTTGCATTTGGTGCAGAGGTCGCGTGTGTTTCCTTCCATGTGCTTTCCGTCTAATTGTGTGAAGCTATTGAGGTTCTGTAGTCTAACCGTAAGCACATTCCAACAAATAAGCAAACAGAGCTCCCACAATAGCACGTCTGTGAACTGCCAGAAGAACTGTGTCTCAGACTTTGAGGTTATGTCATCATTAGCCATTTTCTGCGTACAATGTGAACCAATACCGACATATCGGAGATACCGTACGTACACAGAACTCTTCCTCCGTAAGTTTGCCCGCTCAATGTATGTCTTTAACTCGTATTTTTAATAGACAGTAAACATTACTTACCAATACAGTTCCTAGGGCCTGATCCAAATGGCAGATATGTGCAGGCTTTGATGTTTCCTTTATTCTCATCACTAAACCTTTCAGGGTCAAATTTCTCAGGATCGGGGAAGTAGTCTGGGTCATGGTGGAGGGCATAAATGGGTATGTAGACACCGTCTCCGGGTTTTAGGGTGCAACGTGGTTCAGCCGGCAGTGTATATTGCTTGACGCACCTCCTGTCTACCAACACTGCAGGAGGATACAGACGGAGAGTTTCTGTAACATAAACCACAGGTGATAAAACGATATCGCTTCACAGAAAGGATGCACTTTTCAGGATATAATTTACTTACTTTCAATATATATTTCTAAAATACGTGCCACGTTTATCCGACATTCAATAGAGCACCGGGCATAGCCGTGGCTTTACCAACGCAAAAGAAGGATGGGAAGATACATTTTGCAGCTGAAGATGCATGTCAGAGAGAGGATGCCAAGGTGCTGTAACATTACAACTGCAGTGTTAACCTCAATGGAAAGTGACGTCATGAAACCAGAAAGACGATGATTCGACCAATGATATGCTTCGATACATTTTGCTCGTGGAGACAAAAATGGCGAAGTAGGCTGTTGCAGTTGCAGTGATTATAGTCGTGACATTAACGCTCGGGCTAGAAGTGCTTTACTGTATGCCCGGAAATTGTTATGTCTGTTTTGTTCTCTTGGCAACAGTGACGGTCAGAAAGACAGGTAGAGCGAATGAGAGGGCGGTCTGAAGTGAAGAAGAGGGAAGTAGAGTGGAGCTGATTTGGCAACGGGGCGCACAGTCTGATACATTTTAGCATCTCACAGCGGTGATTGTGAAGTTTACTATCTTTTTGTATGTGACGCAGTGTAGACTAGTACAAGTTTGTCGACAGTTCAGATGGTGGTAATGCGTCCATATTAAGGGTGGAAGACAAGAAACAACCTGGACCCACTCTAGGAAGACTGCACGGCATCATACAACAGACGATAATATTCTTCGGGGAAGACATTCCTGGTAAAAGCAGTGGAGGAAATGGATCCACGTTCAAGTATTTTCCCGTGTTTCTGATTTTATT